CATTCTTCACATTTTGTAGCTGGACTCGGATTCCTATCATGCAGTTTACATTTTGTATGAACAAAAGGGTCTTCAGCCAAAAGAAAAGAGTTATTCTAAAGAGCTCGGGGGGAATTTCGGAAGCATTTATAAATCTCCGAACTTTTTTCCCCAAGTTGGGAAAACATTACAACTGTTTTAACCAGATACTCATTGTCTCACCTTACTCCTGGTGGCTACAATTCAAGCCCTATTATAGAGGTTTGTTTTGTAATTGTCATTATTTTTGTATAGAAAACATTAAAAAAAAGTAAACTACCAACCTACAGTTTATAGATAGACTATACTCTGAAGTGTGACTGCAGCTTATGTAAACAGCTGAAGACTTTGCATTATTAGTGGTATCACTACTTGCATGCAAACAGTGCAGGATCTCCCTCGGAAATACACATTCTGAGTTTTGTTTTGTTTTGTTTTGCTTTTACCAGCTGAACGTACTTAGGACAGTTTTTCAGTTTCTGGGCATTTAATGTCCTTAAGAATATACCCTAAAACCCTGAAGTGATGTACAATCTATTTCCAGTAAAATTCTAAAGAATTTTGACAGTGGCACCTAAAGACATTATAATACCCAGTTTATGTATATGTTGGGATCCCCTATTGGGGTACATAAACACCTTGTCTTACACCTACAGTGCGTAAGATTTTTTATTTGTAAAACAACCTTTAATGTTTACCAAAAAAAATGAGAAATTTTTGATTTATTTTATGGCAGAGATAAAGTATTACCTCTTTTTTTTTTTTTATCTTTTTGGCTGAAGTCCAGGCACCAAGAATAGTCTTGCAGCTGGTTATGCTTGCTGAAGGAAGGACAGACCACTTGAGGTGGTGAACTAAGTGGAATAAAGTACCTAAGGTTTGTCCAAGTAAGAAAAGTAAAGTAGTTAATGAGAAGTTTGAAGGTAGTGCATGTAAGAGAAAATGCATTATACCCCCTGGGGGCACTCGCATTCACAAGTACAGTGACCTAAACCCACAGCAGTGTAATCGTCTAAGGATTAAGCTGCAGTGAACTAAGGACAGTTTATGTCTAGCTTAAGAGCATCTTCTGGGAGTTTAATGCACTCTACCTCATGCAGATTAATTTCCTACTTTTAAATAATTTGTTTGGGCTTTCCCAGGGGTTCCCATGCAGACAGCTGTCCAGAGCTGTCCTCAGCGGTGTTGACAAATTGACATTTCTGTGTGTGACTGCCCCACAAAACTAGGCAGTTGATTCAGGTCTGTGCCATGAGAGCTTACTCCTTCCTGAGTGATGCTTTTTCTACTTTTTCTGTCATTTCTTCACAGTTTGAGCTGAAACTGGGCCAAATGATGAACTAATTGGTTTCTTCCTTAATTATGGAATCTGTCATTATCCTCTCAAAATCAGTGTTACTTTTCCATTACTTTTACTGTTAACTCTAAGGTAGATAACTCAAAATAGCTGGTTGTTACAAATTTCCATGTCTTTAATTGCAGTTTCTGTCATTGCTAAATTTTGTCTGATTACTTTCTTGCAAACAGTTTTTTAAAAGCCATATGCCACCCTGTGGGTTAGGCAGAGTGCCAGCTGAAGACAGAAAATACCAGGATATTTCAGCTTCCCATCGTCCGTCTCCCCCAAACTTTTGCTTTGCCAGCTTCCTGGATTCATTTATAGTTTTGGATTTCCACAACTACTGTTGTCTCTTAAATTGTGTTTACAAGAGATAAAATTGCCCTGGGTATCTATTCAGTAGTCTCCCACTGATATGTTGCAGCCTCTCCTAGAGAAAATGTGTAATATAATTAAAAGAAATCTTTTCGAAAGCATGTACATGAGCTTAAGGCCTAACTTTGAATACAGTTAAAAACTACTAAATGGGAGGGGCTTACCCCCTTATGTTCCTTTAGCAACATTAATTTTTTTCTTACATAGGAAGTGAAGATATGGGGTTTTTTTAAGGCTCATAGATGGTAGGAAATAGCCATGGTAGACCTCAAAGGCCATGCTGGTTTAATTGTTGAATTTTGTAAAAATTTAAGTTTAAAAATGACAGGCAATTTTATAAGCAATTTTTAATTAAAACTTAGGTGCACAAAGTGTATACAACAGTATGAGCATGCTGAGTGTGTTGTGGTTTGTAGACTGCACAGTAAATAATAATCAAATAATGCAAAATAAAGAGAAGGCAGCAACCAACATGTAGCAAACAAACAAAAATTGAGTAATAACTGTAATTTCCAATACTTTATCCATGTATGGTCGCCAAATAAGGAAAAAATGCATTGGAAAGCAAAGGCTTAGATCTCCGAGGAAGCCCAGGAGAGACATATTACTTCCATTTATAACAGAAAATCAACTGAAAACTTGTAATTGACAGAAAGGGAGTGAGTTTATGTCCCTTGAGGTGCCCTAGGATCAGCAACAGGCAAATGGTGTAAACATAATAAATCACAGAACAAGCTGTTTAATATGAATTTTTTTGGAAAATAAGAATAAAATTTTGTAAAGTACAATAAATATAAAATGAGATATTGGCTGTGGGGCACTGGTAAAGAAACACCCTGCTCCTTTTTTAAGAGAGTCGACAAAAATAGACATTGAATGGAAAATTAGGGTTCCAGGAGTGCTTATTCATAGGCTGTTGAAGGATTCAATTAAACTGGAATACACTTTGCATGGCTTTCATAATCATAATGACTGATTTCAATGAGTTTACTCTTGACTTAACCCAATATAATAGGAACAAAATCAAGCTGCTTATTTTCCTGCTGTGTATCCAGATCTGTCCATCCCCTTTGAATGTTTTGAATAATGTCTTTTTTTTTTTTTTTAATTATATTTTAAGCTAAGGAAAACAAGTAGCTCAATAAATACCAGAACCAATAAAGCCTGGCTTCCCACACTTCACACTTTTGTGTCTTGTGGATGTCTGAGTTTGATGTAGATCTGAAAATGTAATTTTTTTTTTTTCCTTACAGTTCCTGAATTGATACCTAATTTGATCTACAGCCTCTCCCTCAGCCTTGTGATCACTCTCTTCATCCAGCTGCTCTGTAGAAATGGAATTACACTTTATTTTCTGGTCTTTCCCATTTAGCAAGACCATACAATCTTTGCTCTCAAAGAGGTTGTAGTCTCTTTCAAACTCTTCAGGTGTAGTCTTTCTTTTTTTCATTTTTTAAATTATTTTTTATTTCATTTTTTCCATTTGCAGTGGATGATAGATATTGAGTAGTGCCAGCCCACAACCAGAATGGTGCATAGATGCCACCTGCCTGCTGGGCCATGCTTACTCAACAAGCCCTCTCAATTCAACAGCAAACCATTGACACCTAAATCTTGATATTTGTGTTGTAAGATGGGAGAATAGCTGTACAGAATATTTTTTTGTTGACTGTATGAATATTCTTTGGCTTGTGTATGAGACTCTTGTGGCACATCTCAGAAGTCTTACTGAAGTCGAGCTAGATCGTAGGGTTTTACTTCCCACTTCACTAACTACCCTATCTTTTCTTGGCAAATCCTTGTTGGCTTCCCTTATCATAAATTAATTACACCTCTCATGTTATGGAGGAAGAAACTTTTAGGGAAAGCCATTGTTTCACCTGAGGAGACATGCCACAAGTCCAGAAGTGTAGGTGGCTGTTTTCAACACTAAATATTTCCAAATATGACAAAAGTTTAACTCTTGATAAAAGTCCCGAGACTGTTAATTGTTCATACACACTGCTCCTGCAAAATTATGTTAATGGCAGGAGTTTAAATATTGATAGAAGAAAATTAACTGTAATTATAAGCCATTTCATTTGATGCCCATTTTGCATTAGCCAGTCCACAAATGTTTTACTAATTTCATTTATTGAATGTTTTTCTATCTGCACAGTCTTACCTTGTGTTAACTTGTCCTGCTAGCTTAGCGTTTTCCTGGGTCCATATTCATACTCAACTGTGAGGGTTATAAAAATGCCTACTCTCCATTTCATGACTGTATCAAAATTTATGCACTTTCAAATTAAATCTGTTCAAAAAGGGATGATCTCCATTTTGTAGGGGCAGTGCAAATGCTACAAGATGTTTTAACATAAAGGCAGGTCAATCAAGGTATAATCGTTTCTAATTAGCACTTGCAGAAGCTGTAATCTCTTTATAAACTTTCAGCTGAGTGGCACTTGGGTGAAAAAGTATTTCTTGCCTGGAAAACCATCAAAAATTAATTTCCTTTGATTCTGTAGGATATGAATGAGACAAGCACGTGGCCTTGCACAGAAAGGGGCTCTTGCCAATTAAAATTGGACACACAGAGCTCAGAGTGGTGTTCAGAAAAAAAACAAATTCTAATGCAGTTTTTTGCCAAACCTCTTAGTTTATTTTCTGAACTGTGGTTTTCCATTCAAATGACTGTAATGAATGGTAGTAAGGGCTACTTTGCCATATCGTACAGAGATTTTTTTCTAATGGAATTTTTTGTATGAGAAAATAGTTTTGCTGTGTGGTGAGCCCTACTGGGAATTTATGCCTCTTTTGACATTCCTTTCGCTTGCATACTCTTGCTGTTTCTATCTACTAAGTATCTAGCTGAATTGTTAGGTAGCTACTGAATGAATAATGTTTCCATTTTAGCAAAGTTTGGTCTCATTTTTGCTCTCTGCTCCTATTTCCGTGCATATTTAAGTCTTTAAAAAAAAAAAAAGATTAAAAAAAATTATCCTTACATGAAACACTTTGAATTCCTTTCACCTTTTTCTTCTGCTGGAGGAGATATGGCTTTGGTGAAAAACTGGTTTGTTTTGCCTTTTTTTGGTTTTGCTAGTTTCTGGTACTTTTTAAAATTTATTTTTCTCAGTCATTGGCTCTCTGGTCCTGTTTGTTACATAATACAGTATTGTATGTTATACAATATTGTAAAATAGAGTAATAAAATAAACTGATTTTTGAAGAAAAAAACGTGAAAAAACCTACCAAACATCTTTACTTCTTTTTGATTACCAACTAGAATTGTCATTTGCTTGGATCTTCAACGAATATCCATCATTTGTACAAGAGGACAGTCGGCGATTTGTGTCTCAAGAGACTGGTCACCTCTACATAGCCAAAGTCGAGCCATCGGATGTAGGAAATTACACCTGCGTTGTAACCAGCACTGTGACCAACAGCCAAGTTCTTGGGTCACCAACTCCTCTAGTGCTGCGCACGGATGGTATGACTTCCCTTCTGCACCATGACCAAGTAACACATCTAGTCGTTAGTGAACGTTTTTACCTCTTGCAGTGTAACATCTTATGCGTTTTCAGGATATTGGTTGCTTTACAAGAAGATAAACTATTTTGTGTTGCGTGCTCCTCTTCCTCTTCTAAGTCTGACAGTGATTTCACTGCCAGGTCCCTCTATAAAGGGATTTATAAACGCTTCTCTTTATAAATGGAGTGCAAGAGAAATAAACTTGACTTTGAATTTAATGTGATGTAATGCTAAAGAGAGAAAAAAGGCTTTAAAAATTACCTTTTTCAATTGTCTCATATAGGTGTGATGGGAGAATATGAACCCAAAATAGAAGTTCAGTTTCCGGAGACACTTCCTGCAGCTAAAGGCTCAACTGTGAAGCTAGAATGCTTTGCACTAGGAAAGTAAGTTTTTTACTTCACCCATACTGAAAGTTGAATGCCGTTAGGGTTTATCTGTACAAGAGATGTGGAGTTCTGGCAGTCATTTTGGCAGTGTTTTCTAAAGACCCTATTTTGATGATCACAATTATTGTCTTGGAATAAGAGGGCAAAGAGTCTTGGAGTAATTTTTTATTTTGTTTACAATTAAAACGTATATGTTGGCAACACAGGAATTTACATTTCATTTCAAATTATCTTGAATAAGATTAGTGCAGTTTTGCATATATCCCTTGACCTAGCTCTGCTTTCTCTGTGTAGAAGGAAATGTTGTTGAAGTCAGTGAGAATTTTGTCTGAATTTTACTGTTAAATGTACTTGATGCTTTCATAATATTGTTCTTCCTTTATAGCTGAAATAAAGATTAAAATGCATTGCTCTTCTGAATGATATTTCACACACAATTGATACCTTTTCTCTTTCACAAATGATCTGAGAATGCATTTATGTTTCTGTAAATGTATTTACTTACCACTTTGCGGTTTATTTGCAGACAGCTTTGTCAGGTGTTCGTAATTTTAAGCACCAGATTGATAACTTAATCACATGCTATTGCTTTGGTTCCCCAGCTAGGTGAGTAAAAGTTTTAAAATTGGAGAATGGATGGCTGTTGTAGGATGGGAATTTCAAAAGACTTGCCTTGATTCTCCTTCCATGGAAGTCACTGGTAGATCTCACCTGTCTCCAGGGGAGGCCAGTGCTGGTTTACAAGAAATTTTACCATCATTGGACATTAACACAGATATTAATGAAAGATTTGGTACCACAAATTATAGTGAGCGTATGAAACAGAACGGTACATGCAAATCAGTTGCCATAGTGTCTGACCATCTGTCTTATACAGTATGAATGCCACTTTTAACACAAGCTTTTAGTCACTTCTGAGTTTTATTGTATATTAGTTTAAGTTTCTAATCTTGACAATCAAAGTACTTTTAACTAAAGCTGTTTAAAATCCCATTATTTTCTTTTTAGCCCTGTGCCTCAGATTAACTGGAGAAGAACTGATGGTCTGCCATTTCCAAGTAAAATAAAGCTGAGGAAATCCAATGGCATGATTGAAATACCTAATTTCCAGCAGGAGGATGCAGGACTATATGAGTGCATTACTGAAAACTCAAGAGGAAAAAACATTGCAAGAGGACGTCTCACTTACTATGGTAGGAAACTTGCTTTCTCCTTCTTTCCCACCCTTCTTTGCACATGAAATACAAACCACTCTAGGGTACTTCTGGGTTTATAGCTTTTGCAGTACCATCAAGTATTTGTGCTTAAAAATCCGTGGCATCTTAACTACTCACAGAGAATGAGAACTTCTGCACCAGGTTTTTGCATAACACTTGTAATAAACATCCAGGCTCAAAAGGATTGCTAAGAGTAGTGTAAAAAGTGCTTGTGCTTATTTTTCTATGATGGAAAGACTTTTTTTTTTAAACAATTCTTATTGGTGCATTGGTGAAGATTTCCAGTCAATTAGATTTATTTGGGGGATCATTTTGGCCTCACGTTTACAGGAAATACAAATTTTGTTTTGCTTTAGGAAAAGATTACTGATGGATATTGTCAATCCTTTGCTTTCAAATCATCCAATTTTATTTTAAAATGAGTAAATAAATGAGAGAATATAATTCAGCACAGGAAATGAAATAATAGGAAATTTAATAGCTGGAAACAGGCAGAGTCTCTTGTGCATTTAAGGCTATAGAGTGAAATGAATATCAGCAAAGCACATTGGTGGTGTTTTAAAGCTAGAGTGATTTGCAACAAAGTGGTAATTGACAATTTTTGTTAAAGCCAGGTCTCAGCAAACATAATTTTCTTTAGGTAAATGGCAATTTAAAGAGTGTTTCAGACTGTGCTTTGGAATGCTATTCCTCATGTAGGAATATCTGAGCAAAGATTTTTTTAAAGTTATGTAAAAAAGTATAGAGTATAGCTACTGTGCAACTTTGAGCAAATGTTCTTTCCATTTACTACTTCTGTATGGGAAGCTGCTGTTTACTAGAACACACAGAGTGCTTGTTGCGAATGGGTGATTTACAATGCTTAAGGAGTCACCAACAAAATTATTAGCAAAAGTAGTTTTAATATGATGTTGTAAAAAGTGTGACTTAACAAAGTTCGATGGCAAGGTTCACTGTATTAACTACTGCATGGAAGAATCATACAGAGGAAAATTGAGTTACACTTGAGTTAGAATAATTCATGGAGAGACCAGGGATGCAAAGAGTAAGGAAGACACTCACATTGAGTCATGAGGTTCAGAGCAGACCCCCTTGCTTTCTAAACTCCTGATGGAGCTTAGGTGCAGCTTGGTCCAATCTTGGTGTCAGGCTTGGACAATGGTTTATGTCTAATGGAAGAAATACAAAGAGCAAGGAAGACCCTCCCATTGAGTCACGAGGTTCAGAGTGGACCCCCTTCCTTTCTGAACTCCTGATGGAGCTTAGGTGCGGCTAGGTCCAATCTTAGTCTCAGACTTGGACAATGCTTTATGTCTAAGGGATTGTACATGCAAAGGTTATATAATGTTTCATTAGAACCGATTCAGCATGCAATCAATGTTACCAAGACAAAATCAAAGTTACCATACTACAACGTTATGCGTGGTATCGGTTGCTTACCAAAGATCTGCCATTGGTAAAAGGTCTCTCTGCCTCAAGGAGCAACCTTGAGAGGTGTCCTAGCTCAAGGGGAAATCGTTGCCATGCAGCCACGCTGCCTATCAGGGAGAGCTCAAAGAAGACTCACTTAGGCTGTCATATTATAGAGGATAAAGTGGTTGGCTTTTAGTCAAATTATATGTGATGGAAAAGATGTGCATGAGACTCCTTGTACCCATAACTTTCTTTGTTCCTTGATAAATGAGTCGCTCCGCTCCTTTGTGGGTTTTCAGACTGCAGACTGAAACTAGAGGAGTTCACGGCCTGGCTACAGCTCAGGGCTTTACCTCTTCCGGAGCCTGTACCAAACCACTGCCAGTCTGGTCAAGGGGTCGAGCGCATCCATCACAGTGCTGCAGTGTAGATTTTAGTCAATGAAGATTTTAATTTAAGACGCAACATATTTTATAAGGGGGGAAGGAAAAGAGACTTCTCCCCTCCTCAACTTCCAGATTAATAGTTACACTGAATCAATGCCCCATCATTGGAAATGTTCAAGGTTAGGTTGGATGAGGGACTTTGAGCAACCTGAATTTTCCATATACTGGTCGTAATTACAGCTTTCTGAGAAATCCTATGAATAACAGGGCAAAAGATCTAAGATACTTCATCTGCTAGTGTCATCTGTCATTCCAAACTTGGCACTATGTGTTTGATTTTATAAAGTGACTTTTATTCGCTACTTGAAAGTTTCAGACAAGTTGTGGTTTGTCCATCAGTTTGGCTCAGTATTCCTACTCCGGTTTTAAATCAGGGCAGTTGTAAGACATTTCAATGTAAATGACGTACAAAATAGAGTGGATTTGTTCATTAGTCTTTGTAATGAAATTTCCACAGTGGGCAATCTTGAGGTATTTGACCTGCTTCCCAAGTTTTGTTTTGCTCCTTGAAGAACACAGAGCTGAAATAAAGGATGTTGCTAATCAATAAAAGCAAGCAAGTTGCAGTTTTGTGACAAGTAAATCAGTGTGAACATTTTCATCACAAATCCAGAAAGGGACTTGAACCCTCAGATAGAGTTCATATTCCAATACAAATGGCTGCCCATATTAGATTCATCCCTAATATGGATGTTTATCCTAAAAAGAATAATGAGACCTGTAATGGCATTAATGGCACTCCAACTGTTTCATTTTATTTGTTCTGCTTAATGAAACGCATTCTGCAGAATTAAGTAGATTTAAGTAATCTTTCTTATTTTGTTACTTGCTTTGTTGTTGCCAATAGAATGCCAACAAGTCCGTGTTTAGGGCAGGATCATTTTAACACTTTTTGATAATTTGAAGGATTTTTTTTCTGTAATGTTCTATAACTGAAGATAATGTCTTCTGAGGGCTTGTCACTGCGTCTGATATCAAAGCTCAGAAATCTGTCTGGTAAAGAAATCTAACCATATGCCACTCGGTCTTCCAATAAAAGATCAATATTTAAGGAAGTTGTTCTAAAAGCAGAAGAGGATTTGGGGGAAATTAATGCAATGTACTGAAGACTTAGAATAAAAAACATCTATCTGTCAGAAAGTACCAATGCTGGCAAAGATGACTCAAATCTATGTGGTAATGTTAGTAGATGTTGGCTGCTGTTAAAACATTTTATTGGTAGAAGTGTAAGACGTGGCTGCTAATCATCTATAGAAAAGTATACTCACTACAAACAGGCAAATTACTTTTTATTTCAACAGTGAAAGCATTTATGTTTCTCTCGTCAAAAGAACAAAGCATGTTTCTGGCTTACCCAAGAAAGAGTATAAGATGAATTGGGGTTAACATTTTCCAAGTTATCTTAGTGAAATAATGTAAAAAATAAATATGTTCAGGGGACAAAAAAGGACAAAAATTTTCCATTTCACTGAAAAATAGAAGGTTTTCCTTTCTTTGCAGATTTTAAAGATTCTTTGTAAATGAAACACAAAGCTAGTCCTAAACAAAAGCTTGAAACATTTCATTGCTCTGCTATGAAGCAAAACACTCTTATTCTCCTGATTTGTTTTATGAGCTGAAACTGTAAAATTTGAATTCTGAAAATGGGGTTTTTCAGTGCATAAATAGTTTGATTAAAAAAAAAAAAAATCAGTTATGTTTCCTGTGCTATCCTGTCTCTTCTTCCAATAAGGAATTATAGTCTTGAAACCACAAAGCACTTGAACATAGGCTCAACTTTAATTGTATCCATAGTCATTTTCTCAAGCATGCTTATAAATTTGGTTTAGAAATTCTGTGCACATCTGTAACTCTTTTTATGAAAAACAAAATGAGTCTGCTTTTTCTAATTTCATTGTGGATTTTAAATAAAAGTCTCAACCCATAGTTGAAATTGATAATTAAAATAGATACTCTAAAACAGATATTTTGGGTTCTTTCATAACATTACAGACAGACTATTGATCTTCCTTTTTTCTCATGAAGGATTTTATCAAGAAAAGCCCAACATCAAATGTTCAGGTTTATTGTCCTTTGTACAGTTCCAACATTTGTTTAATGCCAGTTTTCTCCTCGGTGAGTTCAGAAAGTGCTAAAAATAGGACAAGGTTGTCTAACTTTGATTTAATATAAAACCTGAATATATAAATACTTTGCTTTCACTTTATTAATATATTCGTTTGTCATTGCTTTTAGCCCTTTCCATAAAGAGGTAATAGAAGAAGAAAGAATCCCAAATGGAGGCATTTCATGGCATGGAAAAATGAGAAGAGATGAAACAATTACATTTTTGTATTTTAAGATTCAGTTGAACATGTAACATGGTAGAGACATGTAAAGCAATTAATTTAAAGTATAATCGAAGAAAATATATTCTTAATCAGCACATGCTGATTTAATGGAACTCATGCTTGACAGTACCAAGGTAAAATGTTTAACAAGGAGAAAAAATTCTGCTGCTGTTCTCCTTTTGCTCTGCAGTGGTGGTCTGTGACAGCAAAGGCGAACCCGCCAGTAATACATAGACTTTAGATAATTTTTAGTATAGCAAAAAATACTTGTATATTTTGTTAATTACTTTGGTAGTAATGTACCACCAAAATGATACTGAAACTACATTATTCATGTATGTGGAAGAGCCTCACTGTTTAAAGCCTTTGTCTGATAGCCTGATTCTATTTTGTTAATGGAGATGTCTTCAAAACGTTAACTACAAAACTGTAAATGACTAAATAATATCAAGGAGTTGCTGAGTTTGATCAACCTAGAGTTTAATTATCAATGCTGTCTCATAATTTAATTTCCTTGCTATAGAGACAAATTGTTCATCTTTTTTACATACTAAAACTTTCCCCAATGATGTAGCAATTCCCTGTTGCTTAAGAGCATTTTTATTTTTGCATGGAAGTCAAATAATGGACGTCTTCAGGGATGTGTTAGATGCTTCTCTAGGCCCAGTTGTTTTATCAGAAAAAAGTTATTCATGCTTAAAGTCACTTGGAGTTGTGAGATAAAGTAAGGTTCATCACTGCTGTAGGCATCAGTATGAGTGTCATAGCCTGACTTTCAGATATACTACCTAGAAAAATGAAGGTTACATTTTCTGGTTGTTTTTTTCCCCAGTATGCTTCATAGCTGCTTTCTTTTGAACTATGGAAAGGTCCTTTTGGCTCTAATTTATTGCCCAACTGCTGAGCTATCCGAAGGTATTTTCAAAGGAGATTTCTAGCCCAGCTTTCAGAATGTAAATTTCAAAGTGAAGATATGCATATAAGCAGACTGCATCTTATGTGTGAGCCCCAATTAGGGACTGTTATGGCAGAGCTTCCCATAGTCTTCTGCCTCCAAGCAGAGGCATGGCAGACCTCAGTACTCTCTGGGAGAGTGCAGTGTCTAGACAAAAGTCATGGGCCTGAAGCTCTGCCTTACCTTCATGCTATTCCTGTGGTTTACAGAATTAGAATGAGATTTTTATCGGAGTCTCCTTCTCTGAAGGAAATCAGATATAAAAATTCCTGTTGAGATGCATCGTGCATGGTACCCCACAAATTATTTACAAATTGGATCTCAGCACAGCTTCTGAAAAGCGTCAGCTTCTTCAGCCATTGCTTTCAAGACCGTCATTGCAGTCACTCTTTGCAGTTGGTCTTCATTCACACCAAACCCAAGAACAGTCGTTGCAAAGGGTTTCTTAAAAATCTAAAAAAATGTTTCTTGCTTTCCGTATGGCCTACAGGGATGCCCTAGAGTGTAATGAAGCAACATCTGTTTTCTTCCGGAATGCCTGCCTGGACTAGTTAGCTGGAAGAAAAGGGTGATCGTAGCCACCAAGAAAAAGATGACCAAGTCTTCTCACTGGGATAAGTTTTATGAAGTTACACACTTGTATTGCTTCTGGCCTGTGGGACCATGAGTATTGCAAGGAATATTTTAGGCAAAAACAACTGAAGCAAAATAGAGTCTAGTGCTGACCATGAGGCTGAAGTATTTCGTCCTAAGGGAACTTTATATGAATCTTTCATGAAGATTGCACAGCAAGTTCCTAAGAATTCTTAATATTTCCACACAATACAGATTTCTGTCACAGTCTCAAACCCTGTGCTACAAACTCCATGAAAATTAACTTCCAACCTCTCAGTTTACAGGACATTCTTTTTTTATCTCAATGAAAATATGTTTCCTGCTTGCCTATGCCTTGCTTAAGGAGGAAGGAGTGGCGTCTCCTCAGGAAGATCTAAGTTCTACACCAAACCAATGCAGTAGCTCCATGAGAGAATGAGGCTTTGTTACCAAGTCATTACTCTTCCTTCAGGAGCACAGATGTGGCAGTGGTAGTGGAACCAGATGTTCCAAGCAGGTAACATTTGCCTAACAGTGACTAGACCTCAAAAGGAATAAAGCTGTATATTCAGAATCATTTAGGTACAGTCAGGCAGAGCTCAATAAAAAGGGCAGTGCTGGGCTTGGAAAGTCATGCTTATCTTTTGAGAGGATATGTAGATCTGCTGGTACATGACCTTCTGTCTGCACTTTTCTCAGCTGCTGCAATGTGGACATCTTTACCTTGGCCAAGGTTCAGAGTATTCAGTGGAATATTCCCAGCTGGAATTGCCTCTATTTAGCTGCTTTTTCAATTTTGAAGTGATCAGTTGAATTGTTCTTTTTCAAAGAGTTTCTAATACTTTTACAGCCTTTTTTAAAGACTTTGAGATGTGGCAGATTGAAAAGGGTATTTTTCTTTCTGCTGAATTCCTTCATCAGTAATTTGAAAAGAAAAAGAGCCTTCCTCAAGAAAATCACTGAAGTCTACATCAACACTCTTGCGAATGAACAAGCACCTTGAATTTCTCACATTGTGGCTTAGGAAGCTCTGTTCTGTTCATTTCTATTTTGAGTGGTTGTCTTGCTCCCATGCATTCCAAAACAGCCCAGTTTATCATATCTACCATGGAGACTTGGGAAACCCTCCTATGGAGACTGTCTGACATGAATGAGTCCTAAAATGAAGGTTTATAGTGTAGACAATGTTTTTCTTATTAATGGCATTGAATCCAAGATCTTGAACTTGAAAATAGACTATATTTAACCTACTTTCAAGTGTAGATATGGAGCAGATGTGGAATATTGCACATGTATGGATCCATCAATAATTCACGCACTGTTGCTTGTTGCATGAATATTTAGGTATGCAAAGTGCAGGAAGCACGCCGACATGGAGCCCTGAGCTTTCATCCCCTTGACACATGTGGAGCAAATACGCCAAATGACAGTGTGAGATAAAGCAATGGCTCTTTCTTGAACTCCAGCGTTGTAACATTAACTTTCAAGATTTAACCAAAATTAATATCAGTAAGATAGTACATTTGTTTGACACAAAGATCAGGTTATCCTGTCTTTTAGAGCTGACTTTGATAAAGAGAGTGTAAAAAATACATCATCCCCAAATCAGTGAAAGGCATTAATCCTTGCGGGGTATAAGGGACGTGCCAAACAAAAGAAATAACAGAAGGTTTCGCTGTCAGCAAATATTGGTTGAATTCCAAAACCTCCTAAGTTAATATCTCAATGAATACATTTTAGTAAGTTCTTGTGTGAGAAGTTAATCCTAAGTCTGTATACATAAATCATAAATAGTGTTAATCCTTGTTATCATAAAAATATGGTACTTACATGATCATGTTGAGATTGTATCGCTGTATTGCAGAATATATGATTGAGAGGAAATTTGTATGCTACAAAAGAATGAATCTTTTTTTAATGTAATTAATACCAACCCTCATCCAAACGTTGGTCTGCTGGTCTTGTGCCTATGGCAATGGAGCAGGTTCAGCTCTCAGCTGTGCTGCAGACTTCCCTCGTGGCCATAGGCAAGTCATTAATTTCCCTGGCCTGAATTAATTGCTGGTGTAACTCCATTGTAGTAGGAAGTTCAACGGGAATTAATCTGACCTTCTGTGCTTCCAAAACTCATCTATTAAATAATAATATTTTCCTGTATCACCGTGGACGACTTCTTTTCCTAGTTTTTTTGATATGAGGGTGTTATGAGATTTCTGAAATTACCAAGTTAGGAAAATCTTTAAGGTAATCAAATTGACTCTGGAAAATTCTTTTGCCCTTAGCTATATATTTGCAACCAAGTTTCATTCTACTTTTTATCTGTTTTCTCTATAAGCAATGTCCAGAATTTATCTTTTCTTGGAGAAATAGCATATATTGAGATTATGAACTTCCTAGTAAATTGAATAAATTCAAAGAAAATTCACATGAATTAGCTATAAAACAATGTTGTGCTGTTGCATGAAACAGCACTAAAGGAATAAACTGCTATTGTCTTTCATGCAGTGATGTTTATTTAGCAAATGAAGGGTTTTTTTTACCCTATGAAAGCTGTAACAAATGCTTTAAACTCTATCTTTTCAGTTTTCATTGTATTTTAGGTAATTCTGAAGGCTGTATGGTATTAATACATAAAAATTTTGTTCAAAAGTTAGTGATTTTTGTGGAGTTTCTTAAGGCCATATTCTGGTTTGCATCACCCAAATGCTGTGCTAAGACTAATGCTTTCAAAAACAGTCTCATATATCCATGTATTCATCCAGTTAAGTACTGACTAGCATTAGAAAATAATTAAAATGGTATTTAGAACTAAGGCTGACATACCATTACATTTTTTTGGCACTTAAAAGATTCTCTTCAATATTAATCTCATGATTTAGCTACATCGATTATTTAATTCCAATATTACCACTAATTTCTTTATCTTACGTTTACCTCAATTTCAAAGTTGTGTTGTTTAATCATTAGTGATTTTAATATTGGTTTCACTAGTTCAGCTTTAGTCATCTGTAATGTCAATTTTCTTTGGGTTTACTGCTTGTAATAAAAACGTATAAAAGGAACAGTGAGTAATTTGTTTCATTAGGTGACTTGAAGTAGAACCAGTGAGAACCTCTGTTGGTACAAACCAGTCTACGCAGAAAACTGATGAGTGCTGTGCAAACTAACCCTTGATTCTTATATAGAACGATAACTTGTTAGGGTCCTTGTTGTTGATGTGTGTTTCATCTGCAGCAAAGCCTCACTGGACCCAGACGATAAAAGATATTGAAGTTGCTGTAGAGGACACCTTATACTGGGATTGCAGAGCAAGTGGGAAGCCCAAACCATCGTATAGGTGGCTGAAGAATGGAGACCAACTGTCAATAGAGGTAACATTCTGTTTTGAAAACATGATGCTATGTAAAATCAACAATACTTCATATAAGTATGAGAATTCTCAAAAGTCCATTAGTCAAGAGAAATATTTGATACTGGTTTTTGTATGTTTGTCAAGAGCATACAGATGGAAACTTCAAAAGCTGCAATACCAGAAACACAAAGACAAATTATGTTGTACAAAAATATCCCAGCTAAAAGCAGATTTAAAAGCAATGATAGAACCATAGAAATCAGTATGGAAGGAAAGACTGAGAAAGAAGTTTAATTAAAGTTATACATTAAGAACCATAAATGAGGGATAGAGAACTTAAATTATTTTGTTATACTTGCTATTGGCATTTCATTAAAGGTAAAAAGAAAACATATTCAAACTTCTTGACAAAAAAAGACAAAAATCCTAAAAATTCATAGGGTCACCAGTACTTGATGCAAAGAATGAAATATAAACAGCAGTGTAACATAGGTATTTGCTTTAATACAATTGTTAAGTAAATTAATAGAAAGTAATGCATTTGGTGACAGGGTAAATAGGTTGTACTTGGAAAGTGAGATAGTTGGTCTCCCAGATCAGAAATGCAGAAAAGCATCTGATACCCATATTGATTTTAAATCTCACTGCTTCATTGAGAAAACTGCCCAGTTCATGTTATCAGGAATATAAACTATGGGCACTAGCCCATCGCAGGAAGGCATTTTGCCCTTGGCCAGTGCGTTGTGCTCAACGTTGGCACTCACAGTTGAAGAAGAAAGAGTGACTGCTCGAGTGAATTCAGTGGATGGGTATGAAAAATGATCTAGGCACTGAAAAACATTTCTTACCATTCAGAGCATTCTAGTTATGTGTTCACTAAAAGGAATGGTAGTGTTTTGTGGACAGGTTAAATGAGGGAGTACAAAATCTCATCTCAGTGATTTAAGAGCATTGTTACTGTATCACATAAGGTCACTGAGGCAATGCACTTTTTTACCTCGATAAGTATAAAAATATCTTCTCCCATTCAGTCTTCCAATTTCTCCACTTTTGCATATTGGTGTCCAGCCTTTTGGCATGGTGTCAGTGCATAAGCGTGACGTACTCTGGAAATATTTAAGGACTGTAAACTATAGGACTAAGTCTTCGAAAGCTGGCGCTGAGGAGACATCAGGAGTTCTCTGTCTATAGTGATCAGTTGTCTTCAGCTCCTTGACCGCAATAATCCTTCTTCATGCTGGGTCTTCTCCACAAAAATCTGCTGGGGTTGATCCACTTAGCTCCCCTTGTCCATAAACAAATCTTTTGTAAGGAAGAGTAAGAAGAGCAGCTTGAGATGCTAGAGAGAGGGTCAAGACATCGAGACACAGGCTTGTTCCTCTTTGGGATTGTTTTGTCCTTTGTCTAACTGACTGAGCACCTCGCAATAAACTGGGAGGGGACCTGTCAAGGAAGGAGCTGAGCTGAGCCGTCCTGGCCACCCATAGATAGCCAGAGTCACCCTGCGGTGGGGCCGGCTGTAAGTACAGGCCCTTAAGAAAAGGCAGAGAGTGACTACCATTGCATTAGGCCTGGTAAGCCATGTCCAGATCAAAAAAAAATCAGAAAATGTTTTTGAGCAAATTAAAAAAAAAGGGTTTGTTCTTTTGTTTGTTATTGTTTCTCTGGTTTTCCCCAAAGGAGAAGCTCCTTTGGTTTTGTCTTTGTCACTGGTTCCTTTTCTCACCAGTTCCTGCCATTACGTCCTCAAATTAGTCACTTCTTACCGTAATTCATATAGCTTTCCAAGAATAAGCAAGGTGAGAAGATTCCTTTACTTCAGTAGCTTTGTCGGCTCTGAGGCACTTAAATATGTCTTCTGCTTCATGACTGTTGGAATTTTTTCTGCATAGTATTACAGAGAGCTCATTAGCAAATGGCATGTGTGAAATCTCTAAATAGTAAGAAATGCCAGTGCCATCTGTATAGTTTGGATACTCTGGTCTGTCGTGAGGAGCCTAGTATGATTTTTTCCATATTTCTGGGGAAATATGAGGGTATTTGAGATTGCAAAGCCTCTGTGAAACCGAGCAAGTTTGAAGAATCAATTTCATACACTGTGTTGCCAAGTCTCCGTATTTGGTCACTGGTTCCATGCCATGATGCGGTCATGTCACTTATTTTAGAACTGTTCCCATGATTATGCTGTTACATTTACCCCATTTATTGTATTTATGCTGTCCTATTTATGTTTCTTACTTATTTTAAATTTTTCACAGGAAATATATCATCAATAAAGGTATTTTTCTTAATATTCAGGGAAGGATCCAAATTGAAAATGGTGCACTTACAATATCAAATCTAAATCTGACAGATTCTGGCAGATACCAATGCATAGCTGAAAATAAACATGGAGTCATTTATTCGAGTGCAGAGCTCAGGGTTGTAGGTAAGATTTTCCTTTTTCACTAAAACACAAACCTCATTCTCCCTCTCCACACACCCTTCACCTGCCTCATATTCCACCTCGTCGTGATCTCAAATTTAACTAACTCAGATGCTATCACTGAAATAAATGTTTTTGTCGACCTAATATCTTTATCTGCAGTGCCAAGGAGTTGACTCATCTGCTTCCAGAGGATTTGCAGTCCAATCATTCATTGCTTTAAAACAGAACGCATCTAAATTATTAATTAGGGGAAGAAGAGAGATGGAGGCTTGGACACAGGCCCAAAGATTAAAACCACTCACATGGTCTGGAGGCAGCACTGGCTCAGCACATCAGTCAGCTGCACTCACCTTCTGCACCAGGGCTTCAGTGCTCCCAGGGGAACCATGTCATTGAAAAGCAATAGGCTGCTCATGTGTGCAGCCTTCCTGATCGAGGGGACAAGGGATTGTCATTCAGTCATTCAAACGGTGTGTGCTCGAATTTAAAATAGTGACAACTGTTTGTTTGAGGGAAACACTGAACTTGTGACCGCCTTATGCACTCATATGCTTGTGTGGTTTCTACCTCCAACACAGGCTGACTTCAAAACTAAGCCTGTAAGAGCAGTGTGTTTTAGGGGACATGAGTTATTTCCTTTCTGTTGTTAAGATTGCAGTCAATCAGCAGACTGCTCCCTTAGCCTTGGTCTCCTAAAATACTGAATTTCCTTTTGAAGTTCATTGTTAGTATAGGTAGAAGCCATGTGCCTTTTCTTAACTGTTAGTTAATGCAAACTATACCCACTCAGAATGAGCTGCACTGTAATTTTGTGTCATTTAACCTATCTGATCTGACATGCATTCTCACACAAAACTAGAAGCCAACCAGTTCCTTGTTTTAATGAGACTGCTGGTGTTGACTGCCCTCCCTGGACTTAGACAAGTTGTGTACACTCATATTCAGCAAAGCGTAAAGTTAGGCATGTGCTTAATACTCATTGGGTTGAGTGAGCTTCAGCTCAGATGAAGTTGGTGTGATGATCTGTGCGTGCTTCATTAGGTGACATACTCTGCACAACTGAGACATTTACTTTTGTACCAGTATAAGAAGAAGAAATGCATAATTGTCCAATAGAAGGTCTGGTTGAATTAACTAATTCATATTTTTAATTATATTTAGAAGCTGAAAAGTGTCATGTAAGTGCTAAATAGCAGTATCATTAATAGAATTAAAGGTGCTTTATTTCACTGTTACTATGCCTTCTGTTTTAGCTTCTGCTCCAGATTTTTCCAAGAATCCAATGAAGAAACTGATCCAGGTTCAAATAGGCAGCACAGTTACTTTTGAATGCAAACCCAAAGCTTCCCCTAAGGCCAGATGCTCCTGGAAGAAGGGAGGTGAGCACCTACACGAAAATGAAAGGTATCAAGTTATATTGGTTTATTTGTTTTAATGTTACAAAAAGCTTGTTTATGTCTTTTTATGCAATGCTGTCATCTGTAGATCCAAATAGTTGTAAAGTCTCTCTGAAGTTTGTCTAGCTGGGGGCGTTGTTTGGTTGTTTTTTAATCATTATTGAACCTGAGCACTGAAAGTACATGCATATTGCTTTCTTTAAGGTCAAGGGCCAGATTTTATTTTCAGTTTAATGTAGAATTTGGCCTCATTTAGAGAGAACCAGGTACTGATAGAAAACTGGAAATACAAAGCTTATGAAACAGTACTTAAAGCCTTCAACAAAATACTCTGAAAATGCTGGCAAGCAGGCAGGTGAGGCATATTACAGCCATGGTGATAATGTGGCTGAGAGACAAAAAGGAGATTTAAAAAAAAAAATATCCAGTTGGCAAAAGTTAATAGTTGGTAGGTCCAGAATAGCACTCTTACCATTCTAATATTTTGATTTTTACCATTCTAGTACTGTGTTTGTTTATATAGGAAGAGTTATTACAAAGATGACTCAAAATTGTAGGTCACACACACACAAGAATTATGCAAGGTTTTCCAGGTGATTGCAAGATGGACCTCATAAACTCAAACATTTGAGCTGAATGGTGACAGATGAAAATCAATATTGGCAAATGTGTCATACACTTTGGAAAGAAAAAGTAAAACAGTAAAACCACTTGTTTCCAAGTGTTGTAAATTAACTGGGAACACTTAAGAAAGTGATAGAAGTGTCACCATGCACAGGTGGGTGCAAACATCTGCTCGGTATGCATTATCAGTTAAATAATAGAGCGGTGGTATGTATGGGACAGAACAGAAAATAACTTACATGCTATTACAAAAATTCATTCCCTTGGATATTGTGTTAAGTGTTGATCATCTTCTCTCAGAAACATGTAGTAGAGGTACATGACGAAAATATTTAGAATCACGACTGATGGATTTCTAGTCAGTTCAGCCATTGGAAAGGTTAAGATTGTATGACTTCAGGAAGAAATAAGAGGTGTGTGAAAGAAAATGAGATGTGTACTCATTATGAACGTACTTCTTCATACATATAATTAATTTCATGCGCATGTTCAGATGAAAACAGGAAAAGAAAATGAAAATACTCTTTCAGGTTCTTTTCAAGCAGCCATAAACTTTATCTACCAATGATAATGTATGTTGCCATTTCTTTAGTGTTTACATGATAGTGAATGTGTTTTGGTGTTAGTAATTCTCAGTGGAGAGTTTGTGATTCACCTATATCCTCAGCCGTTGACTTCCAACAATATGTAAACATTTTTTTCCAGCAATAACCATTAAAGCATTATTGAATTAGTCATAAGCTAAAATTGCAAAAGTCTACTGATTTAATTGTGTAATCAAACTATGCAGGAGCGTACATGTCTGCGCTCTGGAGCAGTCACTTGCTTCGCATCTCTCCAACATGAGGGATTACTGCCTTTTCAAGCTTTCTGTTTTACATTTCAATATTTGCATAGACTGGGAGTTTCAGGTAGTGAACTGGGACAGGAAAAAAAACCCTTGGATGAAAGGTGTAATTAAGATAGTTACGTATCTGATTTAGCATGAAACTAGGCAGTTTGGTACTTAGGACATTCCAGCTGCAGCACTTCAGCACTCAGTACAGGCTGTAAAAACTCTGAGGAGCAGAATAACTATTTGGGAGTTTAGTCTGCCCTGAGGTCAGCCTTTCTGCAGCTAGTTGCTGGAGTATCTGAGTTACAGTTGCTGGAGTATCTAAGATACAGACTGTAGTCACAGCAAGAGCCACGGAAAGCCATAGGGTTTGCCTGGGAGCAGTGAGGACAGGATGACTGCAAGTGTCCCTCTTGCGATGCTCTGGTATCACCCTGTGCTTAGCAGGATAATTCAGGGACAGTAGTATCACTGAAGTGTCCAAAAGTCCAGACATGAGATGGAGGAAATTGAACATTTTGGTTTTGAAGGAGGATTGCTATGGCAGTGTGTTGTGATTTCATGAATGTACCCCTGCTCCTCTAGGTCTTTGTGTTAGGTTTTACAAAGCTTAGCCTATCATTGGAAAGCTATTTCTGAACCAGATGAAATTCTTCTAGTCCTATTCCTGCAAAACACCATGGCGTGGTTTTGTTCTGAAGTTTCTAAACGCAGAAGATGCTACCAGATAGGTCAAAACTTTTAGAGGCTGCAATTGAGACCGTTATTTGCTCTATTGTAAGGCTAGAGCTCTCTCCTTGTACCCAAAAGCTTTGGACACTTGCTGTCATCTTGATCTGTGCAGCTCTGGCTGTTCCTTCACAGGGACCACAATAGTTTTCATGTGTTCAAGTGTTAAGTGTTGTCAAGTGTGTCAATTTGGCAGAAGGTTAGGCATCTGTCATTACAGAGCTTGACACGGTACCACAGGCTCGCTAGCTGGCTGCATGCCTGCAAGCAAGCAAGCAAAATCTCATTCAAAATAACCCTAGTTGGTTTTTCTTTCTATGTGAAACCTCCCATCGTCTTGTAATGACATCGTATCACATTCATAAATAAGTCTGTAACACAGGGCCAAAACGATCTCTAAAACTCACGTGAAACATTGCTTTTTGATGATTCTCATTTGTTCTTATGTTTATGGTCACTTTTGTACAGCATGTACATAAATGCATAGCACTTGATATTCGCCATTTAGGAAAATTCCTAGGTTTTGTCCCCATACCATTTCCATAAAAAGGCAGGCAGGAAGAATGGTATCCTTCCCGTTCCTGCCTGTCTCTTGTTGAAGCTGCCTGTCATCAGCCTTCAGATGACCTGTGTAGGTTTGATTCATGATATTCAAAGCTGCCAGGCATGCTTGGACTTTGCAGGGCTCCACACATGTTCAAGAGAAGAGCATTCCAGCCACCACTTCTGCATTGCTTTGTGAGCTATCTGTCTGGACAGGCATCAGATCTGGTCTTAATGGTTGCTTTGGATTGCCCTTCAAAAGCAGTACCCACCAATTTAATTTGTGGTGATGGTACCAGGCTAAAGAAAGTAATGTTCAGTTTCTGAAAAATTATTGATCATACATGATGCTGCCTGCTTAGATTTATGAACATAAATTATGGCTTTTAGTTCTGCAAAGTGCAGGTATTTCCAAAATATGGCCCAAAGTGTCTTCTAGTATATTTTTGACAGCACGCTGTAAATGGCTTACAGAGGAAACATAATACCAAGCCAATAATCCTGAATTAATCTAAATGAAGTACACTCGCCTTCAGAGAAAAGCAAAAATGCGATTCTTTGCAGAAAGCACTGGAGTTTGTTACTGTCTGCTATGAATAATTGCAATTCATGAATTTCTTGCAGTTCTATAATTCTTGCAATTCAGGAAAGTATTTCCAATTAGCAGTACATTTTTCAACCATTCACTACATTTCTAATGGAGAAGTCTGTTGGGGGGGGTGTGTCTTTTTTTAATTGCAGAAAAAGGGATGAATAAGTTCCCAAAAGGGGTAATGCTGGCCACAGAGATCCAGCATGCTCTTTACCTAGAAGGTAGAATGAGTTTAATGACATTTGGGGCTCAGACCTCCAGTAGGGTTCAGGCTCACAGAGTGCTCCTTAGGAGAGACAGACAGAGATTGAGTGTGAGATGGAGACTGACATTCCCCTCCCTTAGAATTGCCATTTGCTTGTAAAGAGCAAGAGGGAAATCACAGTCTTCAAAGAGTGCAGCAAGTTATTTTGTCTCCATAAGTCAGTTCCTGCAAGGGAACAGCTCTTGCAGTATATCCCAAGTGGATAAATACATTTATAGTTTCCCAAATCTATTTGCCCTTGAGTAGCTAAAACCATATTCTTGTTGAGTTTGGTAGGTCTGCTTGTGGTATAGTAGAGTTATTCAGCGTTGGTAGAGAACGGGGACAGTGTAATGTTTCATTTTTCTTGTAAACGTACACAAAAGTTGGAGCGTGTCCTCTTCTGAGGATGTGCCAGCACACTCCACTAGCACCCTGGTATAGATACCGTGGTTAGACCATGCTAATTTGGACTGTACCTAAACTGAGAAGGCTTTCTGGAAGGCTTAGAGGCCAAACATGGCTTAGCATGAGGGTAGAACTAGTCCTTAATGTCAGCTGTAAAAGTGAAAATGTCACACAAGATGCGGCAACGTGGATAGAATTGGTATGTTTTAAGAAAATTCCCATTTGAATAATAAAAATGAAGCACAAATACTCCATTACTTCAATGTATTCATAGTATTTTGTTGTAAGAGAACTTATGTTTTGCTGGAGGTACTGACCACATTACTTTAGTAAAGCCTGAAAGATTTTCATTTTGATGGCACTGTTGCTTGTATTCTTAATTTATTTTTAAATGGTGCTGCATTTTCTGTATGTAGAAGATTTGGATAATGACTCAGTAAATTGTAATTGAATGAGCTGAATATGATATGTCTTGTGGAGGGAAGAAAATATTATTCAAAATGGATTCATGAGCTCTGGACTGAGAAATCGTTCAACGTTGAAGAATACAATCTTGCTTCTTGTTAGTTTTGCAAAATATGTGATATTTTTTTTTAATAATATCTTGAATAAAGAGAGCTAGACAGTAAAGAGCAGTGGAATACAGAGAGAAGTGAAAGCATAAGGGTCACTGTAGAACATGCAGAAGGAAAGACAGAAAATGGGAATTAAATTAATTGGGTACTGAAGGACGATATGCTTCCCACCACAATGCAGTTTTGGGCCTTTGAAATAAATAATTTGAGTGATGTAATAAGCATAATAATCAAGAATTTGCTAGAGTTCTTTTCTCTTTAATGACTGCCAGATCAGGTACTGAGGGTACCTGATTACCTGGCACAGGTAATTTTTCACCCCATATTATGGTTATAGTGTGTACCACCACACTGGCAGCAGCTTGTACTTACTCAGGCTGTTCCTTGCCAACCATCTCGTATTATAAGGTCTTTAATCTCTAAACTATATTTTATCTGCACAACTAGGTTTTGTTTA